GATTAGCCATTTCCGTTCATTTCGTAGAAACAACAGTGCTACGGATTGCTTTTCACATATAATAAGTAACAACCAACATCCGACATCGCGTAAAAGACTTGGAAAAAAGAAACTGATAAAGACAAACACTCTCGGCTTCCCCGATAAACTGAAATTGTCCGGAAATTTTTAAAAGGGTAATCAAATTTTTGCTAGCTGCCTACTGGACCAATGTTAATTTAGCCACTTTCATGTAGGTGTCCAGTAAACGATTTTACTCTTATCTTAGGCAGTATAAAATTATTACGCTAAAAGACAAAACCCCAGCGTATTCGTCCTCTATGAGTGACAGAGGCACGGAAGTGGCAGCAAAAACCATCTACTAGCAAGACCGCTTATGGCTGCTTCTTTTTCTGGAGCTACTTACAAGCAAACTGATGGCTGGCTTGACTCTCCGATATATGGCAGTGGTAATTTACCATCGAAACGAATGAACGAATCGCAGAGGGATTGGTTATCCTACTGGTGAAATGGAACCTCAATCTCCTTCCGGAAAACAGCAGCACTACTTTCCAGCGCTAGCCAGTATAAAATTACAAACAAATAACAGGTAATTGAAAAAACTGATTAGAAAACCAACAGTTGTTTAAAAACAACCTTTCTTTTAATTTTGGTTTTCGTAACATGGACTCCAAAACTGCAACAGAAAAACATATAGAAGCTGGAAAATCCCGAAAAACATCAATTTTCTTTTTCAAACACATACAATTTTAGCTTCTAGTTATATGTTCATATTGACAAAATCGTTCTTTTTCTTCCACCTTTTCCCGGAGCACTCCAATCCGAGTTTGTACCAGCACCCGAGACTGGATTTCTATTTCGATCAGCTACAGTTCACAGCGCCATTTCTTTGATTATGCAGCTGGTAACTCCTTTAATTGCTCTGGTCAGTGCTGCAATGCCCGAAGGCCATTTTGCTGGCAATTTTGGCGTTTGTTGCTGGCAATTTTGGCGTTTGTTGCATTTTCTGAAGAGATTAATAGCTCAGCGACTCCAACGATAGAAGCAGTTTGGCCGTTTTGAAAGGTTCATAGTATGTGCTTCGATCGCTATCACTTCGTTTCGAATTTTTCCATCTTTGGGCCACAATGAAGTACCCCATTTCCTGCACTGGACTGACCCAGTGCTTCATGAAATCACGCAGATCACTGTATAAAATTAGAAATTATGAAAATTTAATAGGCCCAAACATAATGTTAGACAATACGAATGCCAGCTTTCACTGGAAGACATTTCAGTAAAAATTTGCATATCAAATTACAGAAAATAAATATTACAGAGCAACA